CAGTTTCATGATCAGTTTGCTTTTTCAATTACTTAGCATGCCCACCATCTCTGCCATCTTTCTTAGAACCAGTTACTATAAGGCATTAAAGGAAAAAATTTTAAAAAGACAAATTTGATTGCTGACTAAAGGCCAATTCACACTGCACAATTAACGTAAGGTAAGGCTGTACGTTAAGACAGGAAGTGCTGTACAAACCAATGGTCACACGTAAAAGTAGAAATAATTTCAACTATTATGTTACATAAACGGTGGCCATTGGTTTATACAGCACTTCCTGCCTTACCTTACGTTAATTTTGCAGTACAGTATAGCGGGTATATTTCGTCTGGAAAAATGTTCGTTCTAAGCAGGATTAGAAATTTTCGTTCGTTTTATTTTCATTCTGAGCAGCCATTTTGCACAGGTGGCATTGAGGAAACACCCTTTTCGTTTGGAAAACGTTCGTTCCACAAGGAATGAGAACGAAATTAAATTCGAACGGAATATACCCGCTATAGACCCCTTTCGGCGAGAAGTAGCAGCTTGTGAATATCATTAATTTTGCAATGAATATCATTATATCTCAGTTACGGTATACGCCCACATACAATAATTGGCCACCATGTTTTACGTCAAGCAGCAAGTGCTTTCTGTGTCCTGGAGATCTTGGTCACTACATTTTGAAGCTAAAAACTATTCTAGAGTCAAGAATAATGTCAAGAGAGCCAACCTAGGAAGTATAGTGCAATACACTTGTTGTATGAGCCTGCTTTCCTCTTTGGGCTGTGACAGAGAGTCTAGAACTGATCGTTCTGGCTCTCCCAGACTTCTTAAGTCTTCAAAATATCTTGCTATAGTAAAGAACAGTTGATATGAAGCTTCTCATAGTCCTGAGTTCAGCACAACAAAAGTTTTATTGGCAAAACAGCTCTACTTTGCACATCAGCCATTGGAACTCTGCATAACTTTGACGTAAAACATGGCGGACAAAAATCCGTTCAATATTATTTCTTTGTATATACGGTATCACAAACTAATTCTCGCCTAAAGGGGTCTATACAGTATAAATCAGCCTTAATGCTGAGACATGGTCACATGTACATATGACAACTTGAATATGGAAATTGATCGTTATGAAAACTGGTCAAGTAAATGTATGAGAATTAAACTTAATTTAATGCACAATGCAGTAGAAGAAAAATATGGATCTATTCCATATCAACACTCGACAGGTGTCTTACTTCTCTATAGCTGCGGGTAATTAGAGCGTGGCTTCAGCCACCCCGCTTTAGTGAATTTGCAGAAACTTCTGATGTGTTTAGGCTAGTCTCAAGTACGTCCAGAAACAGAACAAAGGATTAGAAGATCGAACCCTAAAAGAAAAGGCGTGGTCTATTAATAATAACTGTTTATGCCACTCCTCCTATTAAACAAAATGGCTGACATGTCTCTCCTACCCCATTTCGTATTAGAGAGAATATTCATATACACCAGTTTTAAAGACCTCATAAGATGTAGTATGGTATGTAAGAAGTGGTACAGTCTCCTCAGTGACGAGGACTCCATCATTTGGCGAGCCAACTTCGAAGACGCGGGCACAAGACATTTCAGAAACTCAAAACACCTCTCAGAGCTACAGACCTTTAGATCCAAAGCCCTCGCTTATGAGTGCGCCTGGAACGGACAGGACGCTTCCAAGAACATATACATCAAGGACGACTGCCTAACTCTACATAGAAAACCAGTGGCCCAATCATCAGATGGTATAAGAGGAAAGACAGGGTTTCTAAGAGGACAACACTACTTTGTCGTCATATTTCAAGGTCCTAGTTTCGGCTC